TAATATGAGTCTAAAACACTGTACAAAACATTTCCTTGTTAATTTCCAATACAGCTAGTATTAGTATAACCAAATTGGTCCAGCCGTTCTGAAGTGATGCGTGTTGTAACGAACAGCATTTCGTTTTTATTTATATAAAATACATATATTTTTACACTCCACCACCAACGTTAAGCATACTTACTTTTTCATTTTTATGTACTTAACCTTATCATACATAATTTTTTTTTAATTGTTATCCATAATTGTCACCTGTTTATTTACCCAAAGGCTAGCACGTTGCTCCAAAAGATTAATAATAATATTTAAGATAACTGATTGACAAATTTTAGTATTTTAAAAATATATTTGTATATTGTTATAAGCATTATTTGGCCCGGAGTTTAATGTATTTAACATATTGTTTTAACATTAATAAAATACTCTAACTATTTGTACAACATTTTGTAAGCAATATTTCTAAGACAAATAATTAATGGTCAAAAACGGCTAAATAAATATTATTAAAATAGGTATTTAAAATTGTTGCCTAACTGATTCATTTAGAGTAAGACCCCCATTTTCTTTGAAAATAATTCCTGTTTTGTAGTTTTTTTTGTTTCGAAGAAAATTGAGTTAATCTATGTTATTTACAATATTAGACAATATTCAATTATTTTTATAATGTTTGGTCCATTTCAAACTCTATCAACTTTTGAAACTTAAACTTGAACGTTATATTAAGTTTACTTTCTAAATGACAAGTTATTTATTACAAATTTTGACTGGTCGATAACCAATTTTGAATAATTATTTTGAAATAGATACAATTTAGGACAGGGGGAAGGGTGAAATGTAGTATTATTCTTATCTGCGCGCATTACTCAATCGCAACCCACCTCCTATCTAAAATTCTAAGCTATATTTTAACTTTAAAAGTAATTATTCATAACTGTTAATCGACCAGTCAACATTTTTAGCAAATAATTCTTAATATAAAAATCAAATTTAATGTACAATGTGACCTTTAGTTTTCAAAAGCTGCGAGCACTCTGGATTATAATATAAACAAAAATTGTTTTCTAAAATAAAAACTTTAAAATTAAAACAACTATAGTATACGAGAAATGTTATATTTTACGTTAAATGGAACACTGTGTTAATGCAACCAGGCAGCAATTCTCGGGACAAAGAGGAAACGTTAAATAGAACTCATGAGCGGAAGACTTCAACGCGCATCTACAGAATGACAGTGGCCTTGACTGGGGATGTATAAAACTCAATATTCGTATTTGGGGTAGCTGAATATAGTTCATAAGCTTGCAGTAGGTATTAAGACAATGTTATAAATTCATTGTCTAATAAAACGTGAACGGTTTATGAACGCAGCTGTGGTGTGAACAAAAACAACAGCCGCATCAACGTTTTCGCTCGACGTGTCAGCAATGATTATTGTTTATATAAATACATTATCGAGATTTTAATGGGAAATCCCGGAACAGACCGACGAACGCGGTGCTTTGTATAATAAAAGTCGTTACAGCGTCTAAATGCAAATAATTGAAGTGACAAGAAGAGAACATTATGCGCGCACCACTCGATCCGGGACTTTTTTCAATCAGTGTCTAAACCAATACAAATCACGGCGACTCGCATTTTGTATCAGTTTCGACGCCCTTGAAAAATAAAAAAATGTATGTCATCAAGGTCAAAAATAAAAAATCAATAACCTACTTCGGCAGTACGGTTAGGTGTGCCATGAGAGTTGTTGTAGCACACTCGGAGAAATTCAATCTTTCTCTTAGAGAAAAACATTGGACCATAATATTGTCTTATGTCCATATTTTGGACATTGTCTTGCGGTCAGCTGATTATCTGTCTCTTATCTAATTATCAATAACAGCTGATTCTTTTATCAATAACCTCTTATTACCACTATACCCTTTCACTCCCTCTTCCACAATTTCTTTTCTCTTAACTTCCTCTCCCCTTGTATGTCACAAAAAGGAACTTATGTCGGATAATACTATTAAAATCTGTAAACAAATATTTAAAAAATAAGATTGTAAAAAAAAAAATTACAGAATTTAAACATTTTATGAAAACACCCTTTGACTATTAAATTTAAACAATATTTGTATCTATATAATTTAAAAAACAATAAAATTGTTTTAAGTAACAATACTGATACATTTGTATAATTATTTAATTAATAAATAATATAAATTTTGACAAAAACTACCTAGATGTTTTAACTGCGTTTTCTATTTAAATTAACTTTTTTTTATTGTAAACAATTAAAAGAAATGTAATTCAATTTTATAACCAACAATGAAGAATATAGTTTTTATAAAATGTAACACAAATATTCATTTCAAAGCAACTTTTACAAAAAGTTGTTGGTTAAATGCCAAATATACTGAGTTTTTTAATTTTATAATTGTAATACTTATTCTAAAAACGAAACTACACACAATGTAAATATTGTGAAAAAACCTATTTTTCCGATCGTTCCAGATTGACATATTATAATTGTGTTAAAACCAGTTTTTGGTATATTTTCATAATCATTTAAACATAATATTTTGTAGTAATTTTCCTTAGAATAAATTAACGAAACATATTTTAAACAAACTGTTATTATTTAACATTTCGTTTCATCTTCAAAACGCGAAGGTATTATTTGTTTATATTTACTCGGTTACTCGGTAAACCATAGCTACATACAATTGTAATTGTAATGAATAAATATTCATTGCTCTTTACTACTATTCATTACTACTTTATAAATATTCAATACTAAGTTTGAGTCAGGTACAATTTTATAACAAGTTTTCTACGGTTTCTTGATAATTCAAATATTTTAGATAAATTACTTAAGAGAGAAGAAACAAAAAAAAATTATGACTGCCTTCAATTTTACTTTATTTTTTTTTTTTTAATTAAGAAAATTTAAATATTAAACTTCCTATAATCTTACCTAGCCTAGAGAAAGAAAAACTAGGATAGGTAGTTCATTTTTCCAAGGGAGTAGAACTCTTATGTCTTCCATCGCGCCATCTGATAGACTAAAAACACATCATATGTGTTTAGAGTTTACGGCATCACAAAATTAATAGGATCAGTAGGAAATTTTACTTTCTATAATATTATACGGTAGGTAGTTTATAGTTTAAATTATGTGAAACTGTTTAAATAACAGTAGTAAACAATTAATTTCTTTCAAATTATTCGACGACAATAAATTATTGTCACTAAAAATTGCAATTCTTTTTGATATATTTTATTACAACTTGATTTATAACTATCGTGTTATTAATTTAAAATTTTAATATATTTAGCGGTGGACGATTTAAATGCGTCTATAAAAATGAAAAATCACCCTATATTCGTTCGGCAAGCAGAAGTCTTTTTAAATTGTCTTCGAAATCTTTAATGCTTCCGATTATTAAATCATCGATGTACAGCTGTTGGTCTTGGTTAACGTACTGTACCAACGTTATTTTCTAAGCCACTGAACCGATTTTTCCGTGTAGTAAATCTATACACCAGAAATCATATATAAAGTTACTTTAATAAGACTTGAAAAATTCACCCTTTCCCGGTCGAAATCGAGTAAACCACCAATAAAATGTACATATTTTTCAACTTTAAATTACGGCACTCCGTTAATTTTTTTTAAAAATAGTCAATTTAGTTCCAAATTCGTATAGAATATTCTTAAGACAACAAAAAAAAAAAAAGCGCCAGCTTAATACGACATGAGTTGGCCTTGGGAATAAAATCCAAAAAGCGTTGTTAATGTATTTTTTTGGTAAATACTGTCACGTTTTTTATCAGCTCTGGACACATTTTATTATCTATTATTTGTTTTATATATTTCAATTATCTACTTGTTAAACTATAATATTTGAAGGGTTTCGTAGAAGTATTTAGATTACTCATCATGTAGCCTGTAGGTACCTATCACAGTTCACACTAACCTTTCAAGCGATGCACTTAAGTAATACACATATTGAATAGGTACTTAATAGAACTAAATAAACACTTTTTGGTTTTAATAATTATTAAACTTATATTATAAGTTGGTTTGTACAGTGTTTCTTCAACTAAAAAAATTATAGTTTACACTGTAATTATATATACTTATATTTAATAAGGCATTATAAGAACAACACATTTTATCTTACTAGCTTAGTATAAATACAACTCAGAATCACGCAGTCCCTGTTTAAACATCATGTGAACACTTTTACCACGGCCTGTTCTAGGCGGTTTAGTGTAGCCCAAATATTTTTGTTAGCTCAAATCCTGGTTATTTGGCAGTTAGCAGATTATATTTTAATCGTCCTGTGTGCAGGATGCTAGTAAGGAATTTCGAGAGTCACTTTATTGTATTTAGACCACAGTGTTTGAGAAACTCTGGGTAAATGCCATCTAATCCTACCGCTTTAACAAGTTTCACGCTTTTTAATGCAGTTTGCACCCTCTTCAATTTATTCTGAACTTCTCTGCCCACCTGGACCTTTCTTCTGCATTCGATTTTTTAATCTTTAGGCTCATAGTTACCTTTTTAACTGATCTTTTGTACAGCGGAGCTCCGCTCATTTCTACTATTCAGTATGCAAAAGTATTGGGCTTAATTTTTGGTATCCTTTTAGTTCTTGTTCGGTTTGGTTCCAATTTTCGAAGAAGGTTCCACGCTTCTCTGCTAGATCGTTTGAAGTCTAACTTTTCTATAGTATCAGCCCATCTATACTAGCGTGATTTAGCATATAAAATATTTTATTTGAAGATGAAAAGTGAAGTTTTTTACTCGTTCTTTGAGTTATTGTGACGTTTTGCGTAGGTACCTACTTACTTATAATTTTGCTTAATCTATGTTGATATGTTTCTGAAGGCTTTTATATCACCAAATTCTAATAATAATCTATCAAATTAAGTACTGCTACAACCTACTCGAGCAGTAGCTTTTTATCTTTGTAACAAGATGACTGTACTTACACACTTACACTATCATATTTGATGTTATATAAATCAAAAAATGTATCGCTATTGAGCTCAATGTATGTTTGATCGCCTGCCTACACCGAATATTACAGTTTTTTTAGGGGTTATATTTTTTATTGATACATTTTTCTATTAGTATACCTACTTGCAACGATGGCTAGACTTTTAATGTTATCGTCTGTGATTTTGCTTAGTGCTTACCTAACGGAACAGGTGCATTTTCTTCAACCAGATTACATCAATAAACTAAATGGAGAAATATCGACATGGAAGGTAACTAACATATAAATAGTAATAATTAAAAATCGTCTAATGATTAACATTTAAAATATAAATATATGTATATACTTGGTGATTCTTTTAAAGCCCTACACCAGTTTTCTCTTAAAATAACTGATATATTATTTTTTAATTTTCTTATTGAAAACATTTTTGTTACTGCTAAACTACAATATTAGACAATATATAAATTTGTACTCTATTTAGGATTTTCTAGAGATTTATCGACTATTGAAACTATTGAATGATTAGCTACATTTTTTTTCAGTAGTGTACTTATTACGAAACGTTTTTAGGCAGGAGAAAATTTTCCTCCCGATACTCCTATCGAATATTTAAAAGGGTTATTGGGATCTCACGGTGTAGAAGCTGCAGCCAACGGTCCATTCAAGACCCAAGATCCCAACTACAATTCCATATTCTACATTCCCGAAAATTTCGACGCCAGAAAAAAATGGAAGCATTGTAAAACGATCGGCATGGTTCGCGACCAAGGAAATTGTGGTTCATGTTGGGTAAATATTTGGACAGCACGAGGACACGCACATGTCTAATAGGTACCTACAATACCGACAGTATTTAAATCTTTATTTTCAACAGGCTTTTGGCACTACTGGTGCGTTTTCCGATCGGCTGTGCATTGCCACAAACGGTGAATTTAACGAGCTGTTGTCGGCCGAAGAACTGGCGTTTTGCTGTACTTCGGGTGGCTCCGGATGTGGCGGAGGGACACCCATGGTGGCGTGGAACTACTTCAGTACGAACGGTATCGTCACTGGTGGTGACTATGACAGCAAACAGGTAAATGAGTATCTAATGAAGATATATAAAAGCTTAAACTAGTAATTAATAGCATGTCCACTACTAAACCTAGACTAAAGACTTGATATTTTTAATTATAATATGTGATACGCTAAACATTATTAGGGTAACAAAAATTAATAATCGAACAGCATGTTAAGATGGAATATAGATATATTTGATCAGTTAAAAATTAAACGTAGAACCGTACCAGATGTCACACTGGTGCAGACACGAGGAGTTTTAATCTCAAATATAAATAAAATCTACCTAATGTTACCATATGTTGTTGATAGATTTATAAGGATAATAAACGATAAATTATAAATAAATTTATTGACTAGTATTAAAAAAAATTATGCAATGAAACAAAGTTGTATCTTACCTGATACGTTCTATGATTTACCAAAACAAATTTATAAATGATACAACTTCCGAGCCATGTTTATAAGGAAATACACTGAACACTTGTTTATAGAATGATTTGACTGGAATTTTATTTGGATACATTTTTTATTACATTTTATTTTCGAAGTTCCATTTAATTAAAAACGTTGTTTTTTTTTTTAATTATCTTTGTCAATTAAAATTGGGCACACGATAAAGGAGAAGGGCGAGACACTTAAAGTTAATATTATTTTGCGTCTCAAATCTCTGTTTGAGATTTGAAAGCTAATTGCATTACAAGGTTTTGCTAACTAAAACGTGCATTTTCTTGAAGGGATGTCAGCCATACTTAGTTCCACCTTGTATTCACGGTGTTCCGGCAGAACAAGAAGGTTCTTGTCGGGGTCAACCGATGGAGGAGAACCACAGGTGCACTAGAAAGTGTTACGGAAACACAACAATCGATTACCAGAAAGACCACAGATATGGTAATATATTATTTTTTGTTAACAACAGTAATACATCTTCGTTGTAATTCGACGGGTTTTTCTTTGTTAAACATAAATGTAGTCTACGGGGCGTACTACCTTACAATAGATACCATCCAAGAAGAAATGTTGGCTTACGGTCCGGTAGAAGCGACTTTTGAAGTCTACGACGATTTCGTCAATTACAAATCGGGTAAATGTAGATGGACAACTTATTGACTCATGCGGACTTATTGAATCATTTTAAAAAATAATTAGGTGTCTATGAAAAATCGGAAAATGCTTCGTACTTAGGAGGTCATTCCGTGAAGTTGATTGGATGGGGCGTGGAGAAAGAAACTCCATACTGGCTGTTGGTGAACTCGTGGAATGAAAACTGGGGAGATAAGGGAATGTTCAAGATCCGAAGAGGCACAAACGAATGTGAAATCGAAGAATCGATGTCAGCCGGTGTGCCCGTTACTGACTAAAAAAATTACCGATGTGCATATAATATTATTTATATTGTATGATAAATAACTTAATGGACACAATGTAAAATTATTTTGACCACAGGAAAATTATAATTTAAAATTATTAATTTTTTAACACATTATTTGAGGTAAAAAGTAAAATATATAAAAACAAATTTTAAATTATAAAAAGTTCAAGTTATGCTCTTATCAAGTTATAACTTTCCCCAGTGGGTGCCAGGAAAACTAAAAGCTCTTTATAATTATAAAAAAAATGGCCTACAAAAAGTATAAAATAAGCAGAATAACACCAATTTTCAATTCAGGTAACCCCACTAATATTATAAATTACTGTACAATTTCTGGGTTACCTCTTATGGGTAAGCTTTTTGAACTCTTGGTTCTAAAGACAAATTTATAATATAATTATATTATATTATAATTAACCATATTAAAATAAAGATATTAGATTAAGATAATAGAAATTTGCCACATAAAATAAAATTATGAAAAATAATACTAATAGGATTTTTATTTAAAACTACACCCTTTTCCACTAGTGATGTACAAATTACAGAATTTTGAGTTCAAGCCCTAAAAAGTTGTAGGCAAAAATCTGTAATTTTGTACAGCACTTACTTATATGTATATAGAACATCTGGTAAAAGTTTGGTAATGAAGACTTAATTTTGCTAGAAGTTGTAAGAAATTGAATTTTTCAAATTTCGTATTTCAGAACTACGCATAACATATTATTTTAATTTATTTTCTAATAAAATTCATAGTTCTATTGTTTTTTATTTAATATTATGTCTCTATGTATGTAGAATATCCCACCCAAGTTGTTGGAAGCTAGATTGAACTATGTTTCAAAAAAAATATTTCTTGCCTAAAATTATGGCAAGTTCATTATGTGTACATTTTTAGTTTTTCTCGATTTTAAAGGGAGAGAGAGAGAAGGACTAAAGTATCGACCAGTAGGTTATAAAATAGATATTGTTGGTCAAGACAAAAAATAAACAATATCATTGTGAACAATACCTTCTTAGCTGGCATTAATATAATTGTATAAATTGAATAATTAGGATATTTTATTTATGTTAAAATCTTAATTAGACTGTACCTAGCTGTATTTATTTTTTTTAGTTCAATTTCAAATGTAAATTAGGTAATAAGTGTTTGTACAGTTTAACTGGTTGGAAAATAAATGGAGTTAAGATAAGTGGTTCAAGAAATATCAATTACACATTTTATTTTAACCATTTTAATACACAACAATAATTAGTCACTAATTAATAATTATTAATATTAATTTGTGTGTTCATTTTGAGCCTACGGTGGTTTGCTTAAATACAGAAGTTAGAAAGGTATGCAGTATGTACAAAAAAGCATACATTATATATTTTTCTAATTACCATATCAAAAACAAAATATTTACAATGCTACATCGAAACCATTGTCCACTGACTGCCAATTTAAATTGTCTATGTATTAAAAGTTAGTCGACGAATAAATATCACCAAATAGTATAATAAGTGATCTATAATAGACATTTTCGGTGTATTCGGATTGGTATGTACTTGCGGAGTGTGATTTATTTAGTTTTTTTAAGTTGTCTCCTTGAAAACTAGTCGTTTTAACACTTAATCAAGTTTAGATATCGAGTTAGACGAAAGATTATAACAGGTTATTGTCTGTTGACTGACTTGACGCTTTTCTGGTACTTGCGACCGCAGTAGTAAGTATAGCTTTGGGTGGCGAAGCTTCAAAACCACATTGATTCCCATTTCATAAGTCCAAGTCAATTGTACTTAACGTCGATTTGTTAGCTTTTTTTGCGTGCTTACAACGGTTGTATGTTTTTTAACATAAACGACCCGATGTGTACAACGCTTGTTTTTTATAGGCGAAAACATGAATGAGCCGGTATGCCTTTCAACATACCTGACCAAGTTAGCAAGCGGCTTTTTTTTGCTATTTTATTTTGTATTTATAATTCATTTACAAATTGTCATACTATAATACGTTAAATTTTTCGTATTTTTACTTGTTCCAAAATAGAAATTTAACCACAAATAATTTTTTTTTTAAATCCATAAAACTCCATTGTCCCCATTTACTATCTAGCGAAACCACAGCAAAGACCAGGGGACAGCCTTTGCCCTCCAGTTAATGGCCCATTAAAATCTTCGCCTTATAGACTCGTATCAATACCCCTAATATGTGTAATTTATATTTAATATAGTATAGATTATATCTTTAAATTATCAACTATTAGCTGTTCTGACGACGACGAACGGTTTTTATATTTATACGAGTTATAAATAAGATTACAACAGTTATACACATATCAGAAGGTGTTCAATAACATTAACGAAAGCAGCTGATTTTTAATAATAGCTCAAAATTATATCTCTAGTAATTATTGTCGCATCGATATTTGAAAATTAAATTGTCTTCATTTTAATAGAAATACGCTCGAAATAAGAATTCTGAGGAAAAGGATCGACCTCGTTGAAATTTATAAGAAATATTTATTTGGAATGCCACTGCAGTCTCAAATTTAAATTACACCGATTTCCCAACCCCCCACGAGCGATGCAAGTTTTTTTTAACTAATATATTAAACCTGCATACATTTAAGAATATCCAATAATCAAATCTCGGACGGACCCATTCCCCCTCATCTCGAAAATGGACCAGTGACGATAATTTTAATCTAAGCTAATTTTTTTTCTGACGGTCGACAGTCGACGTGGAGGACCAAAAGAGCCATGGGCTAAATAAGATTTATAGTAGACTGTTTTTGTCCAGAGTTAAAAAACGCTATCTTTGACAAACGATTTCCACTTCCTCTCAAGTAGCTAGTTACTCAGAAATGCTGTTATTTTCCTCGTCCAATAAATTGCCCTCGCATTGTTTTATACATTTGGTGTTCGATATTTGATATTTGAAAATAAATTAATGTGCCCTAACAAAAGTGTCTTATTACATTCTCATTTTTCTGTAAATAGAAATTTATATTATATTATGTATATTAAGATCAACAGATATTTTGATATTTAATTTCTATATAATCTGAATTAAGATGTCGCGCATTATTTAAATGGTTTTAGTATTATTTCTTAAATATACAACTCTCCAAAACGTCCTAATACTCTAATGAAAAAATCGAACAAAGAAATGTACATGTTTTTCGAAAACCAAAAACTGCATGGACGAAGAGAACTAACAGTAATTATTCACGTTAGAAAGTAGCTGGTAGTTTTTATATTTTTATACAATATTACGTTAAAATAATACTTATATAATTATAAAAATTTGTAAAATATACATTCATTATGTAATAATAAAAATTAAAAGAGATATAATGATATTAATTGAATGATTGTTTTGTGTATTTTTTATTAAACAGCCTAACAATACGCCTTTATAGCCGCTAGTGCAAAGGAAAACTTAACATAAACTTATGTAAGCGGTAACATAATTAAAAACCACGCAAAATAAAATTCTTTCGGTTCGTAATTCACGTCGTTAATCAATCAAAGTTCAGGATAAAAAAAAATGATGTCGTTTATTTCTAAACAGGATTTACTGTCTTTACCCAAATAACTTAAGCTAAGGCAATTAATGAAATCAAGTCATGTTATAGGCTGTGTTAACTTAATAGGAATAATTGTCATTACTGGCTCTGGCTTATGTGCCCGTAGAAGATGTCAAGAGTACATTTAATTTAGTCAAGGATGACATGCTCGAGCCAGTCATCAATTACTTTGGCGTTACGTACGTAGTTGGCAAACCGAGGCGTGGAAGAGTAAGAGCCGTGCCGCCGCGTTACCCTATTGAATCATGGAATCAGTACGAGGCTACACTGCAAGGAACTCATCGAACCAACAATGTTAGTAAAGGGTGGCATAACCGGTTCAAACTACTTGTCGATAAAAATCACCCGGACCTCTACTCCCTCCTAGACGAATTCAGAAAGGAGCAAGGCGATACAAAGAGTGTAATAGCAGAATTAAGTTTGGGAAAAATGTAAAGCAGTCCCAAAGAAGAAATGGAAGACTTTCCAGAATAGGCTGAGAACCAATTCCAGGCAATACCCGAACTATAAACGTGAAAGAGACGTCTTATACTACGTGCGGGCGTTAGGAAGCACTATTATTTTGTAAATTTTAATCTTCAAAATTAGTTCAAAACTAAATCATGTTTGGCGCAAAATGTATTTTATTCGGGAAAAAGTGTATTCGGAAAAGGTATATTCGGGAAAAGATACTTTCGGGAAATCATAGAATTTAACTATTCGGGACAACGGCATTCGGGAAATGTTATTTGGGAAAACATCCGGATACCCCCCCCCCTCCGACCTCGCCACGTGCAGACGGCGAACAAGGGTGGTAAGTAAAAACACAAATAAAAATAGTTTTTTTATCAACTATAACACACGCCTCGCTATCGTATCTTTAATCTAACTACTACCCCTTGATGATTTTAGTGAACGTGCAATTGTGCAGCCACAAGCCGGAGAGGAGGTAGGCTGACAGCCAGTCGTCCGTGTGCTGCGTCGATGATAAAATGTGTGTGAGGTATTAACGAAATTCTTGATTTATTTGAATAGGCCAATTTTTTATGAAAAATTACATCATTCAAACTCAGCCGGATCTATGCGGCAGAATCATTGAAAATTCGACCTTTCGGATCCGTGCTACCGTGCGAAGAGCCGCGGCGGACATTTCAACGATGTCATATTTCATAAAAAAAAATGGCACACACGGGCCTTTCAAATAAATCAAGAATTTCGTTAAGGTTAGGTTAGGTAAATAAAATAAAAATGTAATATGTAACCTGCGTTTAAATAAATATGTATAAAAATATATAAATAATGTATAAATATGTAAAAATAGTCTCTCAACAATGAAATATATGTATGAAAATACATAACCCTTATATTGTAAAAATGTATGTAACCTTTGAAATAATTAAATGTGTAATGTGATAAAATGTATGTATGTATTGTCGAGTGTCGAGGCCATTTGTAATTTAAACAAATATTATATTTTTGAAAGTTTTAATGTAAAGTAGAATGCTTTTGTATTGTTAAATAAGTGACTTCATTATAAGAAACAAGATAGTGAGTTCATAAGAACGTTATAAAAATGTATTAATTTGATGTATATTTAATACAAATTTGGCATTTGTAATTCCTTATTTTTAGCCAAGGGGGTGTCCAGACCCTAATATTGTTGTTTTGTCATTGTTTTTTTGTTTTGTAATCCTCAAAGGCAAAAAATGTGGAAACATTTAAAATTTTAACATTTATTTAAAAGTACTAAATAAATACCACAGTTAAAAGTATTCTTATAATTCATTCCCGCGGTTATGACAAATCAGTACCTATGTCTATGGTTGTATAATTAGTATAACATTTTTTAAAACATCAAACTTACTTTAAATAAAATTCAATAACTATCAATAAAATTATAAAAAATAAACAAAATCATAAAAAAAAAAAACTTATGATAGTTAAATGCTTTTTTTGGTGTGTTAATTTTTCTTTTGTATTTTGGCGTTGGACATCAGTGCTTGAAAAACATTTAGCTGTGAATTTTGTATTTTGTTAATAAATACTTTTTCTGAAAATAAGTATTAATTTAACAATTAATATAAGCTAATTACTACAGTAATGATTATAATAATTTTATCTACACTGGAAAGTTTGTAATTTTGCAAATTTTATTACTTTTTTAAATAAATAATAATGTATTACACATTTTGACTTATCGATAACCAGTTTCGGATAACTATTTTTAAAGTTATAAGAGTCTTAAAGTTAGGATGGGAGGGGAAGTGGAGTGTAGCATTATTTTTATATGCGCGCATTTCCCAAAAAAAATATGAAGAAAAAAAAATTCAATTATGAATTAAACCCAGTGAGATTTTGACTGGTTCATAATAAAAAAATCACCTTGTTACCTGTATAGAATGGTCAACAACAATACTTCTAAGTCACCGTTTGACACATACAACGCATAATAATATAAAAAAGTTGCCTGACCCTGAAAATGAT